GAGCTGGCAGTCAGCAAAGAGCCCGACGCGGGGCTGGAACCCACGAACCGCGAGATCATGACCTAAGCGAAAGTCGGACGCTTAACCGACTAAGCCACCCAGGCGCCCCTATCACCATTTTAAACTAGATAATTCTGTGTAATGGAGGGCCTGTCCTGCACATTGTAGGATGTTAAGTAGCATTCCTGACTTCTACTCACTAGATGCCAGTAGCACCCCTCTCAGTTGTGACATTTATGAATTACATGTCTCCAGACATTGCCAAATGTCCCCACAAGGGGTGTGCACAAAACCACCCCTGGTTGAGAATCACTGGCCTTAAAGAAAAAGTATCTTTCTTCTAATTATCCCCAAAATGTCATATGGTCAATTGTATTAATTGTTTCCTGCTGGAACTTACCATGGTCCTGGGACTATTCCTCCAGGCTAAGCAGACCCAGATGCTCTGGCAGCAGCTCCCACATAGCGTGTGGTTTCCATTCCCTTCCTCCTATGTCTGTCCCTTGGACCCTAAGTGGGTCTGCATTTGTTTCCATGAATAACAGACTTAAGCCTGCACAGGTTATCCCAGGTGGCTGACTGTGACTTGGAGAAGCTCTCCTCTCCTGACAGAAACTTTGAGGGCCCATCCAGGGCAGTATGTTGATGTCCCAATGGACAGATGAAAATTGTCACTTGGCCTGTATGCCTTCTCAGCACAGTTTGTTATCCACAAACTGTTTTTTCCAGTTTTGTTTGGAAAATCATTAGTCATGTTTATATAAATCCCTGTTGCTGTACACCCTCGAGTCTGGTATATACTAGCTACTTCTCACGTGAAAAAAATGACTAATTAAAAAAAAGAAAGTGTATATTTCTGAGTGTCTACTCCTAATATTTCAAGGTTCCTATTCTGGCTGAAATGTGTGAGACATGGCCATCTCCATATCAGGCACAGAAACCCCTCATACTTGTATTTCAGATGTTTTGGAATATGAATGCCTACCTCCTCAAACTGTCACACAAAGTGCATTTCATACACTTTCATACATGTCACTTAACAGTTATCTTAAGCATAGCTTTTCCCAGAAATCTGGTACAAACTCATGTCGAGCCATTTTCTCATCATGCTGCACAGACAGAAACTTCATTTTATCCATGTAGATCTGCTTTCCTCTCCTCACAACTGGTTTCTTCTTACTTGCACTCATTTGCACGTTTTAAATTTATATTTCGGATTCTGAATATTCGGTGTGTACAAGACTTAGTGGATACAGGATTTAGACGAGGGGACTGCAAAAGTCACTTTAAAAATTAATCCGTTATAACCATTTCAGTCGAGGGCTAACAGAGAAATGCGAAATATGGTTCTAGGACGCTGACGAATTTTCTTGGGTGAGGCATAATCTCTCCTGTCCGGTTCTGACTTGTTGACGAGGGGGGCGGAGTTAATGGAGAGAAGATTCAGGATCTGAGCTGGAAGGGGTTTAAGGCTGAAAACATTTGTTACTGCTCTGGCTCCTCCTTCTCCGCCCCCAATTCTGAAACAAGGCGCCCTGCTCGATGCTTCCAGTGAATACTTTTTGCCAGAGCGAGGAGACGCAAGATGCACAATACTCCGCGGTGGTTAGAGTACAGAATCGCTGGGTGCAATCTAGGGCAGGGCTCAGCGTATAAGTGCCATGGTCACAAACTGCTTTGCAACTCTGAGTCGCCAAGATTAAAACTTTTGGGATTCGATAAGTTCGGGTTCAGAAACCATCACACTTCTTGGGGAAATAGCTCAAACTAAACATCCCATTCCAAGTCTAACTTTGTATTCAGTATATTATCCTCTCAAGTGCAAAACGCTCTTTCTCGTTCTCAAATATCAGGCAGCCAGGGAAGGCTAAAACGTATTCGGCAAGCAGTTTTTTCAGACAAGTAGGCAACAGTGACCACCTGCTACCAAACCAGGAGGGTAGGACGGTAGCCGAGAAAGGCCAAACGTAATAAACCGCAGTAGCGCTACAGAACGCAGCCGACGTCTGACGTAAGCTTTCCTGCCGCAGTGCATAACGGGAGGAGTGGCGGACAGCGCTGGGGGCGCGCGCCTTCTGTAAACTAAAAGAATTCCGCCGAAGACCAGAGCGGTGTTCTCGGTGCTCGTGGCAGCTTGGGGTTACCCACTTGTGGAGACCGCGTTGCTCACGCGGTACGGGGCCACCCCCGGTTTTCTTGAGTCGCACGGTGACGCAATTGCGAGCGCGCCAATCCGGGGCTGGCTGTAGCGCGGTCTCGTCAAATTTGAATTTCCAGACTGTTGTGTCTGGGAACCTCGCCGAGGGAGTGAGGGTCACCTGGGGTCGGGCTACGGGGGGCTGGAGCCGATTTGGGCCAGTGGCGCGAGCCCTGGGGCGCCCGGCCCACCCCACGCGAAGCCAAGCAAGGACTGCCGCCTTCTAGCTCTCTCAGGCCCTTCACTCAAGGTATGAACTCCTTGCACTGCTTCCTCCGCCCCCTGCCTTTTGTCCCCTCTGGCGGTGAGTGTCCCCAGCCCCATCAGCATTCACGGTTCGCGTGGACTTCTGTACATTTCTGGCTTTGGTAGGGGTTTCACGACTACGCCTTCGTTGTGTACTTATGTATTGCGTGTCTATCGCAGTTATCAAGAGATTTCGTTTTGATAGTGAACGCTCTAGGCGTTTGTTCTAAAATCACTTCTAGTAAGAAAAAAAGCTTTACGTTAGAATGATTTGTGTGCATCACTGCCCTTGGACCTCAAGATCCACAGTGCTATAGGGGCGCCTGGGTGGCTTAGTCGGTTGAGCGTCCGACTTTCGCTTAGGTCATGATCTCGCGGTTCGTGGGTTCGAGCCCCGCGTCGGGCTGTGTACTGACTGTCACCTCAGAGCCTGGAGCCTGTTTCAGTCTGTGATTCCCTCTGTCTCTGACCCTCCACTGCTCACACTGTCTCTCTCTCTCTCTTTCTCTCCTAGAAAAAAAAAGATCCATAGTGCTATAGAAAGAGTTGATCCATCGAGCTCATGTTTTTTCTGGTTAAATTTCACATTGGTTGCCAACACGTGTAGGTATTAATAAAATTATTCTCCTCTTCAAAGTTAAACACTGTTTACAGTTTGGTGTAAATTCCAGTTTTCCCCCTGTGCTTATGCTCGTGTGTGTTTACTGACGTGTAATTGTACGTCCTGTTGTACTGCTTCTTTTTAAATATTTCCTGATTATATTCTGTGTCGGTAGATATACAGGGATATATCTTTTTATTGAAATATAGAATTCACTTGTATGGATGTAGCAGTATTTCGACCCATAGTGGTGAAGCTCTAGATTGTTTATAATTTCTCCGGTACGTCAGTGAACGTCCCTGTATAGTGCTTGTTTAAGAACTTGGCTTTGCAGTCAGACTTAGGTCCTGCCCTGAATAGTTGTCAGTAGGACTTTGGGCACCTGTGCCTTAGTTTCCTCATCTTCAGAACTCTTAAGAGTTGCTCTAAGGTTATGTAGTGTCTGACATATGCAGTAAATATAGACTGTTACTACCACTTATGTATATTTGAATTCACATATCAACTGTTACTACCACTTACATATATTTGAATTCTTATGTAGTAGTTTCTGTAGGAAAAAAAATTTTTAAGTGGAATTTCTTGACCAACAGCATGCACCCTAATATTTTGAAATTAATCTTTACCAATCTGCTGAATTTAAGAAGTCCCCCTGTTTTAGTTTGCATCTCTTCACTTATGAGTGAAATGGAAGTGTCATTTGACTCCCTGGGTGGCCTTTTGTATTCTTTAGTAATTGTCTTTAATGCCTTTTGGCCATTTTCTGGGTTGCTCATTTTTAAAAATTGATTCATTTGGTCTCTTTGAATGTTATTTATATTATATGTCAAGTGCTAGTTCCCCCCCCCGCCCCACCCCAAGTGTATCATTTGCCAGTTAGCTTAAAATTTGTCTCATTTTTACCAGCTCCACCTCCCAGTTTTGGTAGGTGTTCTTTGGGATTTTTGACTCTTTCCATTATAATAATAATTCGATTACTACTGCTACCATGACAGTAAATTCCTAGAAAAACTTTTCATGTAATTTTCGGAAGAAGAGTAACAGTTATATTCAGAATCATATCCATGATAATAACAGTTGTTTAGCCCTCCTTACTTATATATTTACATTAACTATAAATGCTTATAGCTAGATTTTTCATATAATGATTTTCCATGCCTGTATCTATTTTAAATAAGTAGCAATTTTTCCTGAGTACATCAGCATTTGCCAATTTTAAGAGTAAAGGCAAAAATTAGATTTTCCAAATAGTTTTAAGCACTTAGTGAATCACAAGCATAACATTTTAGAATTCACCTTCTTTTCTCTAGTCCAAAAAGGAACTAACGGTTTGATAGTGATCTATATTAGGTAAAGTATGTTTGACCTTCAGGATACTCTTTTCCTCAACTTAGGCATGCCTCTTAATGAATCCTCATCCTCTAACATCTGTCTTTTCTATCAGAGTCTGAGCATTATTATCTGTTTTCTCTGCTTTGCTCTTTTAACTAGGAGGAGAATGGGGCTTTGAGTGTTTGTCCTCTACCAAGTGATTTCTTCTTCTGTATCTATTCTGCAAAGCTATAGGTCAGAAAATCCTAGGTAATTCTTTTTTTCCTCTGCATCCTCTCTTCTACCAGCCACCCAGAAACCACAGACAACTGTTGTCAACTCTTTGGGCTTCTGCTGAGTTGTTGTTTATCACATAGTGGGAAATAGGGGCTCCTAAGAATCTTGTGTGTCTTTTTTGGAGAGGGGGGTGGAATTTGAGGTTTTTCAGAATCTTGACTGTTCACCTCCATCCTACAACATGCTTGAATTGAGAGGGGAGAGGTTGGGCAGCATGAAAGAGGAGTTACATGCTGGTTCTTCAGGCCTTTCAGTAGGACCGTAGTTATCTGCCGTTAAATGAAAAAACTAATGTGTATGTCTACTGCAGATTGGGCCTGTTTTCACTTCCACTGACTTAAGTATTTTATACTTCCTGTTGAGCATTTCCTTAGGTTGTGAGGAATTGAGATTGTATAAACCTTACATACTTTGCCATTTTTTTGTGCAGTTGGCCCAATTTATTCATTTTTTTAATTTTGAGAGTTTGAAGTGAACTGCTAAGTGAGTATTTTAACTCCCAGCACAGGATTCTTTCACTGGCATATTGCCAAACACATAAATCTATGCATTGGTACATATTCCCAGAATTAACATTTTGTGTAAGAGTTCAGTAATTTTTGTGTAACAAGGCTAGACCCAGGATAGCCTGCTTTGTCAGTTCTTGTTTTTGAGGAATATTTCCTTTTTTTTTTTTTCCTCTTTTAAACTATTGGATAAAATGCTATTTGTATATGAAGTTTTAGCTTGCATATTCCTCACAGAAATTACTTAGATAAAGATACTTGAGTCTTTGATATGACTGCATTGGTATTTTCTGTGGTAGGTATTTATGTTTATATGATGTCAAAGACTGATTGGAATACTTGCAAATTCAGCAATAGGAGATGCAGTAAGTTGAAATTAGTAAGTTCCAAGCACCTTGAGTGGAAATCTTTTATTTATTTACTAAGTATTACAGATTGCAACTGTATGGTTGATCACCTAGAATCCTAGGTATGAGAAATAAAATGTATTTATAAAAACAAGCTAAAACAAGTCTAAGACCATGTATCCTCAAGTACATGATTGCCTCTAAAAATTCTGAATAGCATTAAATTTTTTAAAAATCATAATGAGTATTATTTACTTTTGACTTGAGGGTATTTTGACTAAACCCTCATGGTTAAAATGTTCTGCAGCATAAGAAAATCAGGGTTGGGGATGATTTAACTAAAAAATTGAATGAATTTTTCAGCTTTCATTAGGACCTATCATCATAGCTGCTGCCTTAAATTTAAGTGCATAAAGGGAAAAGTTATGTTTGTTAAATTTAATCTTTTATAGTCTAATATAGAACCATATGCAGATGTAAGTTAATGCTTTTTGATGTAAACATTAGATTGGGACCTCCAGGACTTGATGTTCAAGTATATTTAAAAATCAGATACTCAATATTCAATTCTTAGGGTTCTTAAGTAGATGATTTGATGAATGCTGCTTTTTCTGGGGAAGTAAATTTACAGATCAAACTGCTCTTCTAAAATAATAATAAAATGAGACTTTAACAAAAATATAAAACCTTAGATTTGTGAGCCTATAGATTATCCAGTGTTGTTATAAACCAACTAAGCCTTAGTATAATATTGTTATGGAAAGCAAATGAGCTTTTTTTTGCATCCAAACATGGTAAAGATTGATTTTACATTGAACTACAGGTTCTTCTGGACCCCTGCTGAAGGTCTACTATCCTGAAAATTATAGTTAAGTGAATTATCTGTTAGAGAAAACTTGTTGCTACTATTTATCAAGATGATTGCAACACCTTTGAAATATCCAGGAAGTCATTTATCTTCAGAGACATCTTCTCAAAGAAGAAATATGCCTATGCATGCAATCTTTTTTGACAGCATTCCTGCAGGCACACTTACTCCTGTAAAAGATTTGGCAAAATATCAGAACCCCTCTTTAAAATTGAGTGACCATAAAAAGACTCATTTCCTAGAAATGACAAATTTTAATAATAAAAAAATATTTCATTCTACAATGCTAGCAGAGGCTGCCTCCTCTAACAGCTCTCTTGATATCAGTGCCATAAAGCCCAACAAGGATAGATTAAAAAATAAAGCAACCTATGAATCACCAGGAAAAATATTTCAAAGAATGAAAGAAAAAGTACTGCGTGACAAGCAAGAACAAGCATCAGGCAACAGTAGTTTGTTGGAACCACCGAAAAGTGAAAAGAAAATTTTCACTCCTAAAGGAGCTGAGAGAAGAGTATTGCAGCATACCTATGTCTGTGAAGAAAAGGAAAACAACAAATCATTCCAATCAGATAACAGTTCACCAAGAGGTTAGTTTTATTATGTGTTGGTTGAAAAGCTATAATGTGTTATGTTTATTGTGTCTTATACTGTTTTAGGTACTCAAGATATAAGAGTGAACAAGATGGACAAAAATTCCAGCCCTTGTGTAACTAGCTCACGTTCAGATTGTGGGAGAGACAAAATATGTAGTTTTTATGGTACAATAGAAGAGAAGTGCTATGAAAAGAAAAAGCAGAGTAAGGATGATGGCGAGAGTTGGAGTAGGTTTTAATTTTCCATGTGGTGGTCAGGGTATGGATCAATGAGAAGATGACATTTGAGCCAGAAAATTGAAGGAGGTGATAGATAGATACAGATGGGTATCTTGGAGGAATTGGGAAGGATGATCCAGACAAGGTAACAGCTGGTACAGATCCCCTGAAATAGGAGCATTTCTCAAATTCAGGGACGACTTATGAAATTAGTAAATCATGCAGTGAGTGGATAGAGGTGGGGAGGAGGGGATAACTAAGTGTCAGATAATATAGAGCCTTGTCGATGACTGTAAGAGTTTGGGCTATTACATGAGCAAATTAAGGAATCAGTGGAGGGTTCCAAGCACAGAAGTGACAAGATCTGACTCGTATTTTAAAAATATCACTCACTGTCAATTTGAAATAGTTACTGCAGTAATCTAGGTGAGAGATAGTGTTAGTTTGGTTTAGGTGGTAGCAGTGAAGATAATACATGTTTGGATTCTGTGTATATTTTGAAGGAAGAGCTCATAGGGTATGGAATAAAAGATACAAAGGGTGGCTCTAGGGTGTTTTCTTGTTGTTTGGTTGGTTCTGGGTTTGTTTGTTTTGTTTTTTGCCTGAGTAACTTGAAGGGTGGAGTGATTGAACTGAAATGGAATAGACAGGGCAGGGGGCTCCATAATTACATTTTTGTTATGTTAATTTTGCTATATCTATTAAAAATTGAAGTGTAGGGGCACCTGGGTGGCTCAGTTGGTTAAGTGTCTGACTTCATCTCAGGTCATGATCTCATGGTTCATGGGTTTGAGCCACTAATCCGGATCTGTGCTGACAGCTGGGAGCCTGGCGTCTGCTTCAGATTCTTTGGCGCTCTCTCTCTCTCTCTCCCTCTCCCTCTCCCTCCCTCTCTCTCCCTCTGCCCCCCCTCTCCCTCTCTCTCCCTCTCCCTTCCCCCCACCCTCTGTCTCTTTCTCTCAAAAATAATTAAATATTTTAAAAAATTAAAAATAAATAAAAACTGAAGTGTAGATGTGAATTAGGCTGTTGAAAATATTAGTTGGAATTTAGGGAAGTGGTTCAGGTGAGAAAAATACATTTGGGAATCATAAGCACCTAAATGCTATTTGAAGAGATTAAAGGAGCTCATCAAGGAGTAAGTGTAGAAAGAGAAAACGTTCAATGATGAGTCCTGGAGCACCCCAAAATTTAGAATTTAAAATAAAAGATAGTAGTGAAGGCTGTAAGAAGAAGATGAGGAAGGAGAAAATCCAGGAGTGATACTTTGGAAGCCAAAGGAACAAAATGCTTAAAGGAAGGAGTCTTTGACTGTATCTAATGCTGCTAATGAGTCAAGTAAGATGAAGGATAAGATCTGAGTTCTGGATTTAGCAACATGAGGGTCATTGTGTCTTTAATGAGGAGAGTTTGGTGAAGTGATAGGAGCAAAAACATGATTCAAGAGGGTTCAAGAGAAAATGTGAGGGAGAGAAATTGACAGTGGTGAATATAGACAATTCTTCGAAGAGAAATATGGGCAGTATGGTTTTAAAATATTTTATTGTTTTTAATGTATGATGATATAACATTTTTGTATGCTATTGGGAATGATCCTATAGGGAAAGAAAAACTAAAATTGGTAGTATGATAATACCCTTGAGTACTTGGAACTGAATCTAAAAGTGGAAGTTTTGGCCTTAGCTAGGAACATAAACAGTTCATAAATAAGAAGATAGGCAGTGTTGTATGACTGGAGAAATAATCTGAAGTGGGCAGTAAAGTCAGCTGAGAGTAAGCATGGGAAGCAGGTATTAAAGTTTAAGGAGGTAGAGGTTTGAATAATGCAGGATAGTGGAAGACTAAATGGTCTAGGCTTACATTTGATTTCTTGGGCAACATTAAGGACCTAGTTGAAACTTGTGAGCATGAATTTAAATAAGAGCAATAAATATGGTTATGACTTTTTCTCCAGCCCTGCTTAGCTGCATAGATGCTGCTCAGGAATAGGCAGAGCATTGGAATTTATCAGGATTGTAATTTTATCAGAGTGAAGAGGACAAAGGAGTTGAGATATATGTGTAAGGGAACCATGATATTTAAGTTAGTTATACAGAGAAATGAAGACCTGAAGGAAATGAGGAAGTGTAAAGAAGTGTAGGTCTTGTTAGGATAGTCGTTGGATTTGAGAGAATAATCTGGAAAGATAGGAAGTGGTCAGAATTAGAGACATTTGAAGTGAGCTTTTTAATGAGTTACAGTAATTCAGAAAATATATTTTACATGCATTATCTCATAATCATCCTTTCATCAGACACTATGAGTAGATGCTCATTTAATAGTCTAAAAAATGGGGCTTACAAAAAGGTTATGTCTCCTCCATGTATCACGTATGATAAGCGACGGGCTAAGAATTAATGCAGGTGTCTATTGGAAAGCCCATGCTCTTTACTACACAATAGATTGTGGATATACTGTTGTATTTCAGAGACAGTGGTCTATTTTAATACGAAAGAGTATGAGTTTAGGATAGAGGTGGAGTACACAAAATCTGTTTCATATAGCCTGGGAGAAAAGAAAGTAGCAAATGAAATAATGCACATTAAAACATGTTTTATTAAGTGGAACTAAAGAGGAAGAAATAACTCACTGCTTCGAGAATCTGATGACTCTTTCCCCAGAAAATGTGCACATATATATATATATATACAAACATTTTGTATGTAATTCCAGAGACCTTTTGGACTCTGCATGGACTTTGGAGTCTGCATGGACTGTGCTTTAAAATAAAAGACCCAGATTCTATAGCATGTTATATCTGATTGAACTATCTGATTGAATTGTCTTTACTTCATTGCCTTGCCATTTCTAATAGAATGAGTTAAAGAAATAGAAACTTATCCTTTTATGACACTTGTTATTATGGTAAAATCTTCATATTAAGATTTTAAAGCTAAAGCTGCATCTTAAGCAAAATCACTACCAATTTTTTCAATTATATTTGAAATTAAACATATAAAAGAAAATAATTGATTTTTTTCCTCTAATTTTAAGTCTGTTACTTTCCCCTTTGTGTGTGAAAGAATGTCGACCATGATGAAATAAAACTTAAACCATCTAGGATGCAAAGTAGAATAAAATGTAAACAATATTATTAGTTTCTACTTATCTAGTTGATAAGCCTACTAGATTTTTGCCTTTGAAGGCCTACTAAAGAGATGTCAAAAGGATGTAAATTATGATTGCGTCTGCTATTGAGTCACAACATTTAGACTTTTAATAAATAATCTACAACTCTTTGGCTGTTCTTTCAACATTTAGAAATTTACAGCAACCAGAAGCAGAAGCAGAATTTTCAAGACTGGATGGTACTTCATATATAACTTAAGATATACCTATCTGATTTATTGCAGCACCAGAATTATATTCCAGATCTCTAAGCTTCTAGTAATATACTTTTGTCTAGAGCTGGCAAGTTATAACATGTAGTTTTGAAACCATTCTTTCTCGGTGTAATGTAGATAGAATGGGATGAAGGCATGAGAAAATAAAATGAGAAATGGAACTCCTTTGTTACAGAAGTGTACTATATTGAACTGATCATTATTGAATATAAGTCTTAAGATTTTAAAAAGGCTTTTTTTTCTTCTCAGTGACTAATACAATTCAATTTCCTCTTTCTTTAAAAAAAAAAAAAAAAAACCTCAGTGCAAGAATTTCCTCTAGAATCATCAAATAGTACTTTCTTTCTGATAAAGCAAAAGATTCAATGTCAGCAGGAAAAGAAAGCATAATTTAACTTATGGTAAAGTCCTTTTTGTTTTGTTGAGTGTGTAGTTAAACATTCTAGATAGTTATTCTCCCCATGTAGGCAATCCGTTTCAGAGAAACAGTGGGCAGAAGAAGGGTGGAGCATTACTAACCTAAAGACTTCTTTTGTATATGAACAGCTTTATATTATTCTATTTCTCTCTTAATTTCATATGATTCTTATATAAATTTGGTTTGGTTTTGTATTTTTTGCAGAGGTTCCATTTCTGAACCAAGAACATGAAAATGTTTCAGCTGCAGGATTCTCAAACAAGACATTACCTAGAGTTCAGTTGGCTAAACAAATTCTTCACTCAAAGGAGAAAACATTTGTAACCACTAAGTCTAAAAAGGACACCTTTGTTTTAGAAGGTGTTGAATCTGTCATTGAAAAATCCCAAAATACAACTGTTGAGACTCTCAGTACTAACTGTGTTCCTGTTAAAAATGATGAGCAATTAATTTCTGATAGTAAGGTAGCAACAGAAACGACTTCACAACAGGAAATTAAGGAAGGATATGAGAATCCAGTGCCCACAGAGACTGATCTGGGTTCCATGAATGATACATGTAAAATTGTGCTTGCAACTCCAAGATTTCATATAACAATACCTCGGAAAACAAAAAGAAATGCTTCAAATCGTTCTCCTCCAGGTACACTTCAAACTCTTACAAATGGAGTTAAAGAAATTAAGGTAGGAAAACTTAAGGCCAGCGTGCATTTGTGATTTTACACCTATTCAAGAGCTTGAGCTCCTAAGCTCCCTCATTAACAGTAGCTTCATATTTGTGTTTCATTATATTTAGTGTAGAGGCAATGTGGCCTACTGAAAAGTGCAGTGGGCTAAAAGTAAGAGAATCCAAGTGTTAAGTTTTAACTTTGCTCTATTTCCAATTGTGTAATTCTCAACAATTTACTTCTTTTGGGGATGAACACTGAGTTCATTTCTGTTCTTATTTTTGTTTTTTTGTTTTTTGTTTTTTCCTGATTCTTGGGTACTGTTAACAGCAATTAAAAGAGAAAGGAATTGGAGAGCCTGGGTGGCTTAGTTAAGTGTCTAACTTCGGCTCAGGTCATGATCTCGCAGTTTGTGAGGTCGAACCCCACGTTGGGCTCTGTGCTGACAGCTCAGAGCCTGGAGCCCATTTCAGATTCTGTGTCTCCGTCTCTCTGCCCCTCCACCCTTCATGTCTTGCTTGCCTTCAAAAAAAATAAACACTAAAATTTTTCTTTTTTAAAAAGAGGAATTATAGCATCTGAATACTTGAGAATTTTTCCTGTTGTAAAGTAATATAGACTGATCATTAAAACACTTTGGGCCATCACACTATATTATAGTAGGATAAATTCTCTGAATGAAGTAGAATGGAAATACAAGTTCAAGGAGAAAGATACAATGTATATTTTCTAATTGTTATAGGTTTGTCAATTAATATTTAAAAGAATGATGGTGGTATTTAAATTTCCATTTAAATTTGAAGGGCACTTGGTTGGCTCAGTAGAGCATGTGATTCTTGATCTTGGGGTTGTAAGTTCAAGCCCCATGTAGGGTGTAAAGATTATTTTATTTTTAATTAATTTATTTTTTAATTTCTATCCAAGTGAGCATTTAGCGCAACAGTGATTTCAGAACTAGATTCCTTAATGCCCCTACCATTTACCCTATCCCCCCTGCCACAACCCCTCCAGCAACCCTCTGTTTGTTCTGTTTAAGAGTCTCTTATGTTTTGTCCCCCTCCCTATTTTTATATTATTTTTGGTTCCCTTCCCTTTTGTTCATCTGTTTTATATTTTAAATTCCTCATATGAGTGATGTCATTTGTCTTTCTCTGACTGATTAATTTTCCTTAGCATAATACCATCCAGTTCTATCCATATAGTTCTAAATGGCAAGATTTCATTCTTTTTGATTGCCAAGTAATTCTCCATTGTATATATGTACACCACATCTTCTTTATCCATTCATCTGTTTATGGACATTTGGGCTGTTTCCATACTTTGGCTATTGTCAATAGGGCTGCTATAAACTTTGGGCTTCATGTGCCCCTTCAAAACAGCACACCTTGGATAAATACCTAGTAGTGCAATTGCTGGGTCATAGGGTAAGGAACCTCCATAATGTTTTCCAGAGTGGCTGCACCAGTTTGCGTTTCCACCAGCAGTGCAAAAGAGATCCTCATTCTCTGCATCCTCGCCAACATCTATTGTTGCCTGAATTGTTACTGTTAGCCATTCTGACAGGTGTGAGGTGGTATCTCACTGTGGTTTTAATTTGTATTTCCCTGATGATGAATGATGTTGAGCATTTGTTCATGTGTCTTTTAGCCATCTGGATGGCTTTGGAGAAATGTCTGTTCATGTCTTTTGCCCATTTCTTCACTGGACTTTTTTTGGGGGAGGGTGTTGAGTTTGATAAGTTCTTTATAGATTTTGGATACTAACCCTTTATCTGACATGTTGTTTGCAAATATCTTCTCCCATTCCATTGGTTACCTTTTAGTTTTGCTTTTGTTTTCCTTGCCTCCAGAGAAGTGTTGAGTAACAACTTGCTGCAGCCATGGTCAAAGAGGTTTTTTCCTGCTTTCTCCTCAGGGTTTTTGATGGCTTCCTGTCTCAAGCTTAGGTCTTTCATCCATTTTCAGTTTATTTTTATGTATGGTGTAAGAAAGTGGTCCAGGTTCATTTTTCTGCTTGTTGCTCTCCAGTTTTCCCAGCACCGTCTGCTGAAGAGACTGTCTTTATTCCATTGGATATTCTTTCCTGCTTTGTCAAAGATTAGTTGGCCATATGTTTGTTGGTCCATTTCTGGGCTTTCTGTTCTGTTCCATCGATCTGAGTATCTGTTTTTGTGCAATACATTACCGTCTTGATGATTACAGCTTTGTAATACATCTTGAACTCTGGGATTGTGACGTCTCTAGCTTTGGTTTTCTTTTTTAAGATTGTTTTGGCTATTTGGGATCTTTCCGGTTACATACAAATTTAAGAATTGCTTGTTCTAGCTTTGTGAAGAATGCTGGTGTTATTTTGATAGGGATTGCATTGAATATGTAGATTGCTTTGGGTAGTATGGACATTTTAACAATGTTTGTTCTTCCTATCCAAGAGCATTAGGAAAATTTTCCATTTTTTTTATGTCTTCAATTTCTTTCATAAGCTTTCTATGGCTTTCAATGTATAGATTTTTCACCTCTTCGGTTAGGTTAGATTTACTACTAGGTATTTTATGGTTTTTGGTGCAGTCATAAATGGGACCGATTCCTTGATCTCTCTGTTGCTTCATTATTGGTGTATAGAAATGCAACCGATTTCAGTGCATTGATTTTATATCCCGTAACTTTGTTGAATTCATGAATCAGTTCTAGCAGTTTTTTGGTTTGATCTTTTGGGTTTTCCATATAGAGTGTCACGTCATTTGTGAAGAGTGAAAGTTTGACTTCTCCTGGCCAATTTAGATACCTTTTATTCCTTTTGTTGTCTGATTGCTGAGGCTAAGACTTCCAATACTATGTTGAATAACAGTGGTGAGAGTGCACATTCCTGTCATGTTCTTGACCTTAGGGGGAAAGCTCTCAGTTTTCCCCCAATGAGGTTGATGTTAGCAGTGGGTCTTTCATATATGGCTTTTATGATTTTAAGGTATGTACCTTCTCTCCCTACTTTGTTGAGGGTTTTGTTTTTTTTTTTTATCAAAAAAGGATTCTGTATTTTTTCAAATGCTTTCTCTGCATTTATTGAGAGGATCATGTGGTTCTTGTGCTTTCTTCTATTGATGTGATAAATCACATTGATTGGTTTGCAGATACTGAACCAGCCCTGCATCCCAGGTATAAATTCCACTTGATTGTGGTGAATAATTCTTTTAATGTGTCGTTGGATCTGGTTGGTTAATATCTTATTGAGGGTTTTTGCATCCATGTTTATCAGGGAAATTAGCCTGCAGTTCTCCGTTTTAGTGGGGTCTTTGGCTTTGGAATCAAGGTAATGCTGGCTTCATAGAAAGAGTTTGGAAGTTTTTCTTCCATTTCTATTTTTTGGAACAGCTTCAAAAGAATAGGTGCTAACTCTTCCTTAAATGTTTGGTAGAATTCCCTTGGAAAGCCATCCAGCCCTGACTCTTGTTTTTTGGGAAAATTTTGATAACTCTTTCTACTTCTCTACTGGTTAAGGGTCTGTTCGAATATTCTATTTCTACCTGATTCAGTTTTGGTAGTTTATATTTTTCTAGGAATTTGTCCATTTCTTCCAGATTGCCAATTTTATTGGTGTATAATTCCTCATAATATTCTCTTAATATTGTTTGTATTTCTGCTGTGTTTGTTATGACCTTTCCTCTTTCAATCTTGATTTTATTTATTTGGGTTCTTTACTTTTTGATCCAGCTGACTAGTGGTTTATCAGTTTTGTTAATTCTTTCAAAAAACCAACTCCTGGTTTCATTGATGTCTTCTACTGTTTGTTTTATGTGTGTGTGTTTGTTTTTGGTTTTGTTTGTTTATTTTGGTTTCCATAGCATCGATTTCTGCTCTTTATTATTTCCTGTATTCTCCTGGCTTGGACTTTTATTTGCTGTTCTTTACTAGCTCTTTAATGTGTAAGGTTAGGTTGTGTATCTGAGACCTTTCTTCTCTAGGAAGGCCTGGATTGCTATATACTTCCCTCTTATGACCACCTTTGCTGTGTCCCAGAGGTTTTAGGTGGTATTATCATTTTCATTGGCTTCCATATACTTTTTAATTTCCTCTTTAACTTCTTGGTTAGTAAGGTGTTCTTTAGTTTCCCAAGTGTTTGCTGTCTTTCCAAATTTCTTCTTGTGGTTAATATCGAGTTTCATAGCGTTGTGGTCTGAAAATATGCATGGTATGGTCTTGATCTTTAGTACTTGTTGAGGGCTGATTTGTGATCCAGTATGTGATCTTTTCTGGAAAATGGTTCATGTGCACTTGAGAAGAATGTGTTTTCTGCTGCTTTGGAATGAAACGTTTTAAATATATCTGTTCAGTCCATCCAGTCCATGTGTCATTCAAAGCCACTGTTTCCTTGTAAGTTTTCTGTTTAGGTGATCTGTCCATTGCTGTAAGTGGGTGTTGAAGTCCCCAACTATTATGATATTATCAGTTATTTCTTTATGTTTGTGATTAATTGATTCATGTATTTGTGTGCTTCCATATTTGGAGAATAAATGTTTACAATTGTTAGACTTTCTTGGTGGATAGACCCCTTAGTTATGATATAATGCCTTTTTTCATCTCTTGTTATAGCTTTTATTTTAAAATGTAGATTGTCTGATATAAGTATGGCTACTCTGGCTTCATTTTGGACCATTAGCATAATACATAGATGGTACTCCATTCCTTTACTTTCAATCTGAAGGTGTCTTTATGTCTAAAATCGGTCTCTTATAAACAGCATATAGACAGATCTTGTTTTCTTACCCATTTTGTTACCCTGTCTTTTGATTGGAGCATTTAGTCCATTGATGTTTAGAATGAGTACTAAAAGATATGAATGTCTTGTCATTATGTTGCCTGTAGGGTTGGAGTTCTCTGGTCCTTTCTAGTCTTTGTTGCTTTTGGGCGTTTTGGTTGTTTTGTTTTGTTTCGTCTTTTCTCTCTGCAGAGAGTCCCCCTTAAAATTTCCTACAGGGCTGGTTTAGTGGTCACAAACTCCTTTAATTTTTGTTTGTCTGGGAAA